ATGTGTTGCTTCAATAATTGAAGTAAATATATCAAACAAAACGATTGTGTGCTTCTCCGAATGTTGAACTGTAATGAGCCCCTCAACAGAAATGTGCCAGTGGAGATCGACTCATGAGTTCTTTTTTCTTTTGTATTTTCTTGACGAAACTTGTCAAGAAAATTTGTTCAATAAAATAAATGTTTGTTTTGTCCCTTGACAAAACATATTAACAAATTCATAATAATGAATATGTCCCATACCATCAGAGAGGCAGGCTGTTGAAGTGCAGTCTGCATGGTCCCTCCAGTTGACCAGAGAAGATGCCGGTGTTTCTGGATGGTGTTTCCATATGGCTTAGTGATGGAGATTCAACCATCATTTGTGGATGCTACAGTGAGCTGTAAATTGTTGGATTGTGTACCTGGATCATTGAGCATGGACGGTTGTGTGTTTACAGTGATTTGTGGACGTGTTCCTGAGCCCATGTTGCGACGTCCAAAACAGAATCAGAACATCCTGATGCATGCTCAATAATCCAGGTAGAAAAATCTAAAAAAAAGTTAGGTCTGGTCCTCTGGACATTCAAAAATGTAGAAACGTTTCGTCTTTCATCTGAAAGACCTTCAGAATCAGAACAGTTTTTAATGCAGTGGCCCCCCAAGGGCCCGAAGATCATGAACATCTAATTTTGACTTCCAGCCTTTTCCTTCGACAAGAGATTTCTACATTCTTGAAATCTTTTAATTTGAACTGTCTTAGTTTTCTGTTGAACATCCATCCATCATCTTGGTGCCCATGTCCAGCCATAACTGTATGGGGCGTGGGACACCCTGGACAGGTCTCCAGTCCATCACAGAGACAAACGAGACAAATATTCACTCTCTCTCTCACACCTAGGGACAATTTAGAGTCACCAATCAGCCTAACATGCATGTTTTTGGTCTGTGGGAGGAAACTGGAGTTCCTGGAGAAAACCCACGGAGCACGGAGAGAACATGCAAACTCCACCCAGAAAGGCCCCTGGACTGGGATTTGAATCTGCAACCTTCTCGCTGAGAGGCTGAGCCACTCGTTGAGGAACACTATTCAGGCCCGAGCAGCGAAGCGCTACGAAGGCCTATTGTAATCGCTCTCTTCAGGCCCGAGCTACATTTTTTTCAGACAAATGATTTGCCGTTTTGGGGGTCTTAACATATCCCAAAAGTCACCAAATTTGGCAGACGCATCAGGACTGGTGAAAAATTACATATTTTAAGGGTGTGGCAAAAATCGCAACAGAAATGGCTCAATAGCGCCACCTGGAAATGATCAAAATAACCTCCGCATTAACCTTAGTTTGTCGTAGAAACATGAAATTTGGTACGTTTTTCAAATTCCCCAAGATGCACAGAAAACCCTCTGGCACCAACGTTGTACGATAAACAGGAAGGCGGCCATTTTGGAATGCCGGCCCTATTTTCACAACTTTTTGGCGGTTTACAGCCTCCGCATTTGAACAAACTCATCCTAGGGATTTCGCTCAATCGGTTTCAAACTTGGCCATTTTGGTCAAAAGGCATGGGGGACGCAAAGTTATCTAAACCGTTCGTTTTGGAGCATGCTGAAGGGGCGGAGCCAGACCGTAAAGTTTGACATCTTGCCATGAAAAACGAAACGCTAATAGCTCCTACACAAAAACTGTCTGAGACATCAAACCTTCATGATTGATCCACATCCGGTCCCCTGCAAGACTGAATGGTCAAATCATGACATCACTTAAGCCACGCCCCCTGACAACAGGAAGTATAAAGTTTATGTTGAACGATCCCTATCTGACCCCTGCCACCTGATCAGCATGATAGTGTGTCCAGTGACCGAAGACGTTGGTGTAACTTACTTTCCAACACTGACAGTTTTGGGTGGAGCATGTGGGTGGCGCGGCGTGGCGAAGTAAGACGTAACGCCGTCGCCATATGTTTGGCTCTAAATTCCAGTTTTGAGCAGAGGTGCACCAAAACCAGTATGATCGATCATTTTCCACCCCTTGAACAGGAAGCCATGATAAGTGGCCAATAGCCTCCACAGCGCCCCCTAGAATATTTTAAAACCTCAGCCCCAAGCCATTTTTTGATCGATAATTCTGAAACTCGGTGAACATCTGTATCTTCTCAGGACCTATGAAAAGTCTCTTGGAGCCATGGTCCAAAACCAAAAGGAAGCCGGCCATTTTGGGTCTAAGGTTGTTTTTGTACCAGATAGTCCGGTAGACTCGGTTCAGTTGGGGACCAATATTCATGACATTTTGTTACATTTGAGCTGGTGCGTTTGCATTCACACTGCACTGTGCAGTCAGTCAACCTGTTGAACCAACCTGTTCCCCCACTCACCTGTGGGGGTGCTGCACCAAGAACTACTGAAAGAAATGACACAAAAACCTCTGAAGACACCTCTTCTTCTTCTGGAAATAGTAGATTTAGGAGTTATATTTTGTCATTTTTCAAAAATGGACTCAGCATAAGACCTTGGAAAGTAAAAGTTACATGTTAAAGGGGCGTGGCCAGGCCTCAAACTTTCGCTTTACGCAATAAATTTCCAAACACTAACTTTCCCATTGAAAGACCGAAATGCACAAAACTTGGCATGACTCATCCCTGTTGGATGTCCGACGATCCATCGTCATCAAATTTTGACATCATCAAATCCCCGCCCCCTGAGAACAGGAAGTCTCTTTTTTTACTTGGAATGCTCCTTCTTTGACACCATTGACCTAATCAGGATGATCCTGTGTTAGAAGAAAGATAAGATGGTCTGACTTGATTCAAAGTGCAAAACGTTTTTACTGGAGGATGTGGGCGTGGCGAATCAAGAAGTGACGCCGTTGCAATACGTTTGGTTCTAAAATACACAGATTTGAGCCGAGGTGCACCAAAATCACCATGATCAATCATTATCCACCCCTTGAACAGGTATCCATGATAAGTGGCCAATAGCCTCCACAGCGCCCCCTACATTATTACTATAGTTATAACTCAGTGATACATCATCCGGTCTGCACCAGATTTATTGTGCCTGATCAGTGAGCATTTGTAGACACATTGGTATTGTTCTTTAACATTTGACTCAAGTGCGCCCCCTAGATTCTTCCAACAATTATATCTCAGTTATACATCATACGATCTGCACCAGATTTTTGGTGCGTCATTAGTGAGCACTTCTACACACACTGGTATTGTTTTACTTTTGACTCCAGTGCGCCCCCTAGATTATTCCAACAGTTATATCTCAGTGAATCATCATCCAATATGTACCAGATTTCTTTGTACGTGATCAGTGATCACTTATAGACACAGTGGTATTGTTCTTTAACATTTGACTCAAGTGCGCCCCCTAGATTATTCCAACAGGTATATCTCAGTGGTACATAATCAGATCGGAATCAGATTTTTTGTGCATAATCAGTGAGGAAGTCTAGACACACTGTTATTGTGGTTTAACAGATGACTCAAGTGCGCCCCCTAGATTACTCCAACAGTTATATCTCAGTGGTACATCATCTGATCTAGACCAGATTTTTTATGCTTCATCAGTGCGCACTTGTAGACACACTTGTATTGTTGATTCATGACTTGACATAAGCTCGGCCCACTAAGAGAAAAAACTGATGATTATTGGGTGACTCTTCCAGCTTGGCACTGTGTAAGATATAAGACTGAAACAGTATTGACTGACTGTTGATTACCACATGACGTTTTGAAAAGCCTAAAGGAAGTCCTTTACATTCAAAAACAGGAAGTGACAATAACTCCCATCTGGAAGGTCAGATTTTAGCCAAACTTGTAAGGCTCGCAGCTGGACTCATACTGATATGGGCGGAAGGCGATTGCAAAGTTTAGGCATATGTGCACCCTGGTGGACACGTGCAGGAATGGCATGAGAGCGTTCGCAACAGCGACTGGGAGTTGTTGCTGGAGCGCACGCGGTCGCAAGTGATGTTGAAGGTTCGGCTTCATGGGATGGAATGGGAGTGGGACGGGCACGAGAGCATTCGCAATGGCGACTGGGCAGAGTCGCTGAAGCTCCCGCGGTCGCAGTAAAGCCGGAGAGGCGCTTTGCTGCGAGGGCCTCCAATGCTGCTTGCAGCTTTAATTAGATTTGTGTTTTTTAATAAATATGCCCATGACTTTGAACTTTTAGGGGCAGAGATTGTTTTTAAGAGCAGAAGCAGAAATGCGAAAGAACAGCTCTGATGTAATATTAGGAAGCTTTGTTTAAAATTATAGTTTTGTTTTACAGACACTCTTTGTCAGGCGGGTTGAAAAATACGCAGTGATCCTTCAAATGCGCAGACACGGCCGCGCGCCTCCTCCTGTCTGCTCCAGACCACGCAGCTAAATTACACTAAGGGACACTTCAGCATGTGACTGCTGGTGGAATCGGACCCCCAACTCTTGCATTTGAAGACGACTGCTCTAACCACTCAACCACAGCTGACCCAGAAGTAAAACACTAAACACAAAAGCAGTGTCGCCTTCTAGGAAGAAACAAACGGTGTGGTATTTCAACAGGACAATGTCAAACCTCAGTCTGCTCCAAGTTCCACGGTGTAGCTTCACAGAACGTGGAGTCCATGTGCTCGGCATGCCAGTGTTTGGATAACTTGGTCTGACAGCCACAGATGACTGAACTGCTTCTGTCCAACAGGAGTAGGAACAGATTATTCTTTAATATCCAAAGAAGAAAGATGTTCCTAAAGTTCTGGTAAAGCAACACAATGGTGGTTGTGCCTCTCTCCTAACTTCTCTTCAGTGCTGCCGACATCAAACTCTAGATTTATTTTTCTATCTTTGTTTATTTTAGGGTTGAATATAGAATCGAGTTGATTCATGATGTGACCAAAAGCCTTTTCTGAACTGTTAGAACAGACAAGTTCCAAACAATAATCCAAAAGATTATAGATTTTTAATGACTTTCTGATCAACTGTAAGCATCTGATTACATTGAACTTTTATATTTTACCAAAAGTTTTACTTAAAGTTTGTCAGCTCAGTTCAATTAAAAAACAAAATAAAAATATTCAAAACAGCTATTACCATTTGCACATGAACGTTTGCATGATGACTGGATCTACTTATCACAAACCTGTCAAACTTTGCGTACTTTAAAATGCTAATCAAGGGGATACTTTAGACATTTTAGCCATCCGTCTTCATATGTCCAAGCATCGTTGAAGGCACCAAGGATTTCTCAGTGAAATAACTTGGTGAAAAACATGAAGTCCTACAGCTCCATCAGCAGGCTGACATGTTTTATTAAAGAAGTATCAAAGCATCACCCCCATCTACATTTCAGCAGCTTCTTCTGGAGGTTTTGATAAGTGGGCGTCTCATGAAGCCTTGCTGTGCAGCTGTTTGGGCAGCTTCTTACGGTCCTTCCCAGCGTTCCTCTTCCTCTTCTTGTTCAAGAAGTTCTCCAATTTGCCATTCTTTTTCAGCTCCAGGTATTTGTCAGCCAGCTGCAGTTTCTTCTTATCAGCTGGAAGTAAAAAAAACAAACAAACAAACAAAAAACATTAAGGGTGTGCAATATTTGCCTTCTAATTATTTTTTGTAAAGTTGGTTTTATTGTATCTTTTTTATTATTTTAAATTGACCTATAAAGAACAAACGTATCACTACTTCTGTGTTTACGAGTCAGAGATTCTTTATTGTCATTCGCACCTCATGTGGTACATGTGGTGCAGCAAAATTATGTACACAGGGTCCCAGTTACATCCAACAATAAAATGTCTAAGAAAAACAGTAATAACATCTAAGATATGAACTAAGAAAAACATCAACTAAATATACACTAAGCACTCATAACATAAAACATTGAACATCAGCACAAACATGA